AGATGAAGGCATTTCTGGTTGATATATCATTAATATTATGGACTCTTTACACATTAATATTAATATTATGTCCGTATTCCACATAGGCGTTTTCAGAATTTGTACTTTTGTCTAATAATGTTGTATTCTGTGACAGTGTTTTCAGTATATATATATCTATTCTCTAAATGGTATATGTTATTAAGACCACTGTTAGGGATTCTAATTGCAATTTACAAACAGTCAGGTAAGAAATGGACCTAATCATTGTGAAAAGATAGTGTCTAAATGTTATACTGTAAAAACAGAAAATGTCACATGCTTGAAAGTTTCATGCAGGGAATTGGTAAATAGATTTAACTCTATGAAAAAGAGTTAATCACAATTTGCACAACATTAGATTTTTGCAAATGGCGAATGTTTCTTAATTCTTACCATGAAAATGGCAGTCCTTCAAAGAGCAATTGTCAAGTTTCATGTTGAGACAGTTTCTGGCGATACTCAGTACTTTATAATGTGTCTTTTTCGAGCATTGGCTTGTTTTCTCATCTAGTGCCAAGACGCCTGATGAGGATTTTCAAACATGGACTGTGGTAGATAAAGTTATTTGATTTCTTACTACTCTCTTTAAGAAAGTAGTCTTTTATAGTCTGCTCTTTAGGATATTTGTATAAAGAAAAGTATAAAGGATCATTGTGAAGCAAAAGGAGCATACAGACTAGTAAACTCCATCATATAAAGAAATATTGTAGAAAGAACTAATTTTGAAGAGATCAAGTGACATGACAGGTAGCCAATCATCAGTGTACACTACAACCATATAGCCCTGCCCACTTAGACAACTTTTGTAAGCTATGATGTTCAAACCAGACCCTGATTGATTATCAAGTCTTTATTTGAAAGATGCTCAAATATGCATTTTCCTTTACATTCTGTTATACAACGTTCAGGACTACCAGAGTTCATTGTATCCCTGTAAGAGAATCGTATAGATTTATGATGAACTGTGAGCGCAGGGTATGAAAGTACGTGTATATTTATTTCTTGGCCATCAATCATCATGCCAGCCTTTTCTTTACTAACAGGAAGAGTTCGGTTACAAAGATGGGCGTCTTCAGTATCAAGGTCCTATCTAGCCAGAGGTTTCAAAATACCATTGCGCTTGTGATAGTAGGGCAACACTCTATTCCAAGCAAACTAAGATTAGTGTGAAATAGCCTGCTCATCTGGTGAAGATGCATTCGGAGTATGGCTTGATGGAGATCAGAGACTTGAACCCTGCAGGCCTGCATTATTTTCTTGAGAAGCCATTGATTAGTTTAATATCTCAAACTTGAGCTAGCTATGCGAGTAAAATTCATGTATGATATGAATGAGTGAGCTGGTACTGTCAGCATTTGTATTTTCGTATTGAGGATTTTTATAACAGGATCATTTTGAATATATTTTAGGACAGTTTACTTTTTTTTGTTACGTTTTTGGTAAAAAAAAAAATTGTTCTTAAAACAATTTCATGTATTTTAACCACTAATGCAGATTCAGTTCAATTCAGAATATTTGGAAAAACACCAAGTAAAAAATTGCTTAGGGAAAATTAGGTTTGTTCATTACTATAGTCAATTTTATCCCATTTTTCGAATGCATTTAAACATGAACCTGTGACCAGATTGCAGGAAACATTTTGTGCTTTTATAGCGCTTTTTATGCACAATCAAACACTTTGAATTTTCATTTAAAATGCACTTCATGATTTTATATTTATCTTCTTATTATGAGGATGGGGTTAAGGACAGTTGTACCATTGGCTGGAATCTGCTCCTACAATAATGAAGTTTTGAAGCAAGTGACTCAAAACAAAATGGAGGCAATTCAGTCATTTCATTCTACAATTGTCCTATGAGTATTAAAGACAAATGTGAATTTATTATCAAGTACAGTTATATTGTGAAAAATAATTGGCATTGATGAACATTACTGCACTTATTAATTTTCTTTTATGTATAAAAAAATGATATTAAATAGAACTTACATATTCTGGCAGCTTTTTTTTTACAGTGAGAAATATAAGAATTAAACAGATATCAAAATAAATGTGAAAAGATCAGTTTATAACCGTGTTTGAAGTGTATATAACTACATTTATACTTGTAATACTACTATGCTTATTACACAAGACATTAATGTAACATAATTAATAGGAGGGTGGGTGCTTTTAAATTTGACTTACAATTTAAAATGAATCAAAAATTTGTTGAGCAACTAGGCACACATTTCAGTACATGATAGCACTTTTCCTCACCAGTAGCAAGAACATACATAGATATATTTGTTTATCTTTAACAACACACATTTACTTGACAAGTTTGAACAAAATGGTATTCTAAAAATTATATGTATTCCAGACATTCTATATATTAAAATACATAATCTTATTGAATATACAAAAATAAGTATACATGGTTACACACTTTAGAATTCACATATTTAAAATAATCATTTTGAGTAACAAAACAGGGACTGAAGCCTTGTCATAGCAAAGATTTGATCATCTCCACAAGAAAATGAAATACATGTATTAATGTGTACCAGCAATATAAAACGGCACTATTCACTTTTTTCATATAAACATTTTAATATTTGTTTCTTCATTCCATGAAAGACATCAGGCAATGCCAAATCATGTGTAAAATATGATAATAAATTCAATGCTTATTACTTTTGACCATATGGTCACATTTTTGGCACTTTTTCAAGTACATTAAACTTTATCAATTTCTCTTAACCCATTGTCATGGAGAAGCAGGTACTACCTGTATTAAACCTGTATTACACCAAGGAGAACCTAGGAGAGAGAATGAGAAAAAACAAAAACCAACAGTTTCAATTATAGTTGTTGGTTCTCCTTGGTTCTATGAATTAGAATGACTGTATGACTTTTCTTTAGGAAAAAAAATTCGCATTTGTAACAGTCTTGACATATTACGTTATTGACAACCATTCTTAAACAACATTTATTTGTATTCGAACACATAACATACCAATATAAAGTGTGTAAATAACATGTTTATGTGACATCAGCATGGTAAAGATTATCACTATTGCATCATATTCAGTCTTTTCTTTACCTCTGACATTATATTACATCATTCTTCAACAACATTTATTTGTATTCAAACAAAAAATATTACTATTTATTGCATCATATACTTGTATCATAGTAATAATAATTAAATCAATTTATATAGCGCAGCTACTATATAAATATACTCTACTGCACCATGATCATATATCATTATGATTACACATGTACATATAAATTGCCTCAACATTCCAAAGCTATTATATACAGGCTAATTTTGATGTAAAATTTGGTCACTTCTGACTGGAAAAAAAATCTATTTAGTATTTTTTTCTTGAATGACACACATTGGTATTTACTGATTTTAAATTTATAGATAGGCACTGCAGCAACATATAGGAGATCAAATATTGTTTGGTTTGGTTTTCCTTGACTGAATTAATTTGGTTTACCAATTTCAGCTAAATGGTATTGCATAAAATTGCAAATATTGAGCAAATCCTTATATACACGTTTATCTTCATATATTAAACAAATTCAAATTTTCATCTCCTATATATGCCATTGACAGATTATTATGTGCAATATCCTATTTCTACAATATCATGATTTGGACATCTCATGCAAGTTAGGCATCAAGTTCCTTGGTATAATGTTTTCCACTTTAGGCTTACTGTAGCTATAACTAATTGTGTAATGATAGAGAAGATTGAAATAGCAATTATTGACATTCTACATTCAAGAATAATAATTTGATTACAAAGGACAAAAGCAAAGTTTCATCACATTTTCTCCACATTTTTTATTATACCGGTAACTGAAAATAATTTTTCAAATGATTTAAAAACTTAAAGATTACAAAAAAGGAACAAGAGTACTAACACATTTCATTAACTCTGGAATTATGTTGCAAAGAAACTCCAGGACTTGAAGCTTGACAAAAATTACAAGGTAAAAAGGAAAAATAGTAATTACACTACAACTTAAAAAAACTGCAATAAGGAAATCCTAAGGGATATAGATAGGACTTGCAGCTTGACTGAAACAATGATGAAAATACTAATTAAACAAAATTGTGTTCATTACGACCCTGACATTAAGAATCCCCAGGGTCATAGCTTGACTGAAACAATGACGAGTGATGGCCATAGTACTGTGACCCAACACCCCCAGGGTCTTATTAACACACCAGTAATATGGACAAGAATGGTTTAATTATCACTCTCCCTAGCCTTGGTAGTGGATGCTCTTTGACAGTGCAGTCACGGTGTTGGTTAGCCTCTTGTTGATGCCCTCGCGCTGTTGGAGTCTCTAAATTCTGACGAGCGAAGCGAGTCAGAGAAACCGAGGCGCTTGCGCGGAGGGCCTCTTGACAAGTGCCCTGAATTTCTTATGTTTTACTTTGTTTGGCGAATATTCCGACCCAGCAGAGTTCGGTGAAAGTCATCCAATCAGAGAGAGCTACTATGACGTAATATCTACCGCTCTGTGCGAATTCCCTCCGTCAGAGCGAGACTGGCCGCCTAGTTGTAGTCTGCAAGCACAAACCCTGGTCAGTCGTAAAAGAGAGTGTGCACTATAAGACTACCATATGCCACGTACTATAGCTGCTCCTGACCTATATTGGTACAACCAGTAGGTACCAGTAGATAGCTGGGCTAGGCTTCTCTCAAGGCACAATGATTTTTTGATAAAGTGTCAAAATAGGGTCTGTGCTTGCAGACTAGCCTAGTTGGGCAATCCCGAACACACACGTACACACACGCAATCGTTGCGGTCTAGACATGCATAATTCAGTAGGAAATCGGGTCTCATGAATATATAATTCAGATCACTTGTCAAGAGGCCCTCCGCGCAAGCGCCTCGGTTTCTCTGACTCGCTTCGCTCGTCAGATTTTAGAGACTCCAACAGCGCGAGGGCATCGACAAGAGGCTAGGTGTTGGTATGATCTGAGGCTGCAGTTACAGGATGATATAACAGTTGATGACCATTCACTGTGAAGAGACTCCCTGGAGAAGGAATGTCTCCACTGTTACCTAGAATCCATCTCTAGTTGCATAATTCCTTATGGATCTGCACCTGGAGTAGGAAAACAATAGTAAAAAGCACATCGGTTAAGAAAGTTATGTAATCAACATGGTCACTGACTCCCTGGCTTTTTTTATAATTAACATCCATTAATCTCTCTTCTGATGATAATTTAATTTTTTCAGAAGACTACCTTTAATGACTGTTTATTTCATCATCATATGTATGAGATTATGATTGTATAACGCATGTTCCAGCAATATTAACTCCAAAGTCGAATTTCTAACCAATTTCATAGCTAACTTTAGCCTAATCGCACCCCTAACCCCTTCTTTTTGACGAAATACACTCGGCCAGCTTGGATCCCAATAGATATGGACATCACAGGTCAGAACATTGTCTGTATTAAGACAATTTAATGTAATGTAAAACTAAATGAAACCTAAAGCCCAGTTTAACATCCTATTGGTTACAACACAGGCCCAATGAGCCACAAACCCTATACGGTAAGCTGCAGAACCAGGTTCAACCCCCTAAACACTCAAAATGTCTTCTTTTTCTTTAAATACAATTTTTTTTTTAAATTTTGGTCAGTGTCAAACAGTGCAACTTCTATTTATTTTTACCACACTTAACATTTATACAGTTGATATCCTGCGGAGAAACAAATAAAGGATTTAAGATGTAAGTTATATATGCACATCCATATAACTTAAAAGATGATACACACCATTCTGGCCCTTTTGGAGATAATACAAAGTAAAGCTTATAGTAGTTTATCAGAGAGAGAGAAAAAGAGAGAGAGAGAGAGAGAGAGAGAGAGAGAGCGAGAGACAGACAGAGAGAAGGGGGAGGGAGGTTACTGACTTCTTGCAATGTTGTACAAGAAGTTAAGAATATAGAACTTAAATTAAAGGCAAGCTTTACTACTTCAGCCAGAATGGATTAGACCACCAAGCGAGCCAGCGAGGTCACTGTGACAGGTGGGTATCTCATTAACTCAGCTCTCATTTAACATAAGAAAAAGAGGATCATGGGGGACCAAGAGGCACCCATTGGGGAAGTTTTCTATATAGAGGGAGCAAGTAGCTACAAGTAGGACAGTGTGCCTTTAAGTCAATGACCTTTCCATGTGATAACACATATTAGTAATAGATTCACCTCTGGTTATCTCTAAGAAGCTTATGAGATGGCAAACAATGTCTATCATTTGGTACACATTAATGTGCAGTCAGAAGGGCATGACGTTTTATGACTTTAAATGTAGTTGGTGTCAGTCTAGTTCTCAGTCGTTCCACAATCTATGTCATTCTAAAGTAGTACAATCTACCTAGAAGTAAGCTTATTCAGAATTGTAATCAAATCTTTACTTTACTTGTGACCCATAGTTTCAGCTTGATCACACCCTCTATAGTCCATAGCTTTACAGTTTGATTCAGCCTTCCATGGGTAGAACAGAGTAATGGCAGGTTTTAACAACAACAAATGAATATCACAATCCTTATTGGAATATTTGGTATATTTCAATTGGACAATCTTATTTTTTTAAAGTCGCAGTGTGTCAACAAAAATCACCTCTATATGCACACTCCACTTGTTAACAAAAATGTTTGCAGCCATTAAAAATGCTTTTGGTATATGTGAAATTAAGTATTCATTGTGGTATACCATACTATATCTATCATATTAGTTTTAAAGTACTGATGTTAAACTCCAACTGTGACCTTAGGCTAAATTTACGGTGAATTTCTAAACACACACAATATATATAATCAATTTGTCCCACACAAAAGAATGGAAGAGGAACTAGGTATTACACCAATATTAGTCCAGTACTTACTGTACTGAAACTCTCATGAATTCCCTCCAATTAACAAAATTACTCTGATTCTGAGCTGACTTGCAATAACCCCACCAAACGACACCACAGAGTATTGAATCAAAACTGAGACAATGATAAAGAGATTATGTTTTATCATAGGACAACATCTCTCTAAAATGACCTTTGACATCAATTAGTAGGAGCTATTAAGATTAAATGTGGACATAATGAGTGGAAACATGTCAGCATCAGCTGCCTGATTCTCATGGAGATTAGAATGCAATCCTGGAAATAAATAAAGTCCAAATGTGAAACAGAGACCCGATTCAATCATACAAGATTGACTAACAAGGAACACGTTAATCTTAAGATATGAGCTTCGGTTTCGAGGCACTGCTACTACAGCAAATTAATAACAGACAGGAATAATGCTGTGCAGAATTAGACCATCTCAGAAGCCTATCGATGATAACTGCATTCACTGATCTTAGCTTCATAATTAGCCTTTAATTCGACTTTCAGATTCAGTTATTAATTTTTGTAATTGTAATGAAATGTAGATTTTCAATTAGGTTCTCTGACATACTTGACCTGACATTAATCATGCTGAGACAAGCATAGCATACACCCAAAACATATGCAAGAGCACCATCTATTGGTGAACATCAGGTAACCGCACAAGCTGCATGCTTCATGTAGCCTACTGACAAAATCCCATTCAACAGTGTTTGTCAGTTACCGTACTAGTATCAAAGGAAATGAGCTGCATTCAATGCTACTCTACCTTCAAAGCGAGTGTTTGAAAATGCAATCACTTAGCATGCCAATATTAAAAAATGGCATGGGCAGCTTTGCTACCAATATACATAACAAGCTAAAAATTCTTCAAACTATTAATTTGTTTTAGTTAATTACTGCATGCTTTAGCTTCTCCATTCATCTTGCAAAGCTGGGTAAAGCAAGATTTAAACTTTTCTTTCAAAGTACTAAATGCTATTCTTTGCTTGAAACTTTCTAACAAATATATCTTTACAAGTAATTCTAGGCTGTGATTGTAAAACATGTTCACAAGTCCGATGCCAAACAGCAAACTTCAATTATACATCATATTTCTGCAGTTTAAGGAAGACACAAATAACAGTATTTCTCCTGGGGGTTGCATGATATGTAACAATATGAGTTCATTTCCCTCTAGTGAGAAAGAGAATTAACTAGAATGAAAACAATATCCTTCTAACACTTCTGACATCTTAATTGGACAATGAATGAATCAAGAAAGCATTTTTAATCATGATGTATTCATATCTCATTGACAATCATATTTTAAAAGGAAAAGAAATCCTGTTTTTCCCTCTTTATTTCATTCAGAAAATGAAGGAAAGTAGTGGTCTCTGGAGAATAGCCTGCAGATACTAATTAGATGTAATTTGGAGTGAATGTATGAACATAATGATTGTGATTAGCTCATACTCCATAATGTAACAAGAACTGCAGGTGCAAACATAATTGGGCCCGGGAGAGCCACGTGGTATGATTCTTATCAATGGTACATGCTCAATTAAAGCTTTGAAAGAAACAAGACAAGGGACAAATAATCTGAGGTAAACGACTCTAAGGAGAGTAGTTACACAAAGAAATGTTGAGCAAAAGACTTCATTACAAGGCAATGAAAGCCACAAAGAGTTACTTGATATCATTAACTCTCAGAAGAATTAAATAGATATGAATGTTGGATAAGACTATGATATATGGACATGCACATATGTACGGTATAGTGGTAGTAGTGGTAGTGGTAGTGGTGGTAGTAGTGGTAGTGGTAGTAGTGGTAGTGGTAGTGATAGTAGTAATATCAGTAGTTGTATTAGTAGTAGTAGTCGTAGTAGTAGTCGTAGTAGTAGTAGTAGTAGTAGTATTAGTATGACATGTAGTAGTAGTGGTAGGGAGACGAGGAGGGAGGGGGATGAGGAGGGAGGAGAGAGGAGAGAGGAGGAGAGAGGAGGAGGGAGGAGATGAAAGGATTGGGAGGAAGGGGAGAGAGGAGGAAGAAGGAGGGAGGAGGAGAGAGGAGGATTGGGAGGAAGGGGATGGAGGAGGGAGGAGGGAGGAGGAGAGAGGAGGAGAGAGGAGGAGGGAGGAGATGAAAGGATTGGGAGGAAGGGGATGGAGGAGAGAGGAGGGAGGAAGAGAGAGGAGGAGGGAGGAGGAGAGAGGAGGGGGAGGAGGAGAGAGGAGGAGGGAGGGAGGAGGAGAGAGGAGGAGGGAGAAAGAAGGGGGAGGAGGAGAGAGGAGGAGGGAGGAGGACAGAGGAGGAGGGAGGAGGAGAGAGGAGGATTGGGAGGGGAGGGAGGAGGAGGGAAGAGGAGAGAGGAGGATTTGGGAGGAAGAGGAGGGGGAGGAGGAGGGAGGAGGGAGGAGGAGAGAGGAGGAGAGAGGAGAGAGGAGAAAGGAGGAGAATAATACTTGATTATTTATATTTCGGTACTTCTCATCCTACTTCCACTAATAATTAAACAAACATAGACAAAAAACATATTTTAGCACTTTAGTATTGCATAACCTGAAATTTCCAGCACTACCACCACTACAACTGCAGACACTTTAGAGCATCATTTTTCATTATCGCACCACAATTTTTCTACTGGGTCTATGAAATATACTGCTACTACTAAGGTATCAGGGTTTTTTTTAAAGAGCTTTACTTTGAATGTATAGATTTTCAATAAACTGCTTACAGATTGAAGCAAGCACCATGATCTTCATACTTCTATAAATGCCTAGGGATTTATTTACAAATAAATGAGCAGTTACAGTAAAAACAAAAACAGAACAAAACAAAAAACACTAATTGAAGTAGGTGATAAGCTTATTGATTTCTCCCACTGTTTTCAATGTCACATCAATATCCTAGTAGGGTACCTAGTGCACTGTGAGAACCATGTGGATTAGAATAGAAATAACCTTCACTCGAAGTTCAAGAATACTGTGTTGACATTTCATTTGAGAAATATTGAGTCTATTAGCAACTAGTTCATGAAGATAAATACAGATATAATCTTGCAAAATTAATGAGATGAGATAAATTCTGTTTCTTATCTTAAAATAACGAGAGTAGATTGACACAGAATTGTAATATTCTTTGTTACAAATTAGGACTAAAAATCATTGTGGTCAGCTATCACTAATGATGAACATGATAAGAATACTTGATTACCTCATCATGAATTGTAGG